ATCATGACGAGACTGCACCTTGACTTGGTGTGATGGCCTGACCCGACGAGCTACACAGGATAGATTTTGTCAAGTCAGGAGATCTTATCATGCCTGAAAGGTCAAGGGATAGAGGTCAGATGAAGTTCAGTCTCCTGGTCCTCCGGATTGGGGGTTTGCGTTTTAGTCCGTAAAACATGATGGAGGAGTAATTGATCCGAGTAAATGGGCCTCCACTTCACTTCACCCTCTGCCTTACGGTTAGGTTCTTGTTAGAACTAAAGGCTTCGGTTGAGAACCCTTATTGTTCTCCTGCTTAGCGGCTGGACACCTAAACAGTACCCGTCCATCAAACCCCAATACACAGACAAACCATGCATTGCGAATTTGGCTGAAGTTAGGGAAGTTCGCTTCACTGTATTTCACTGTACGATAATGATGGGTGAAAAAATCTGGCAAATAACTTTGTGGGGATTTTGCAAATTCACGGATCATGTGTGATGCATTCCTGTCTCTCATCTAGCATTACGAATCACATGATCCGCCTGATCGACAGTCAAAATATTCTCGCAGTTAGTAGAACATGGTCAGTGGAACTCATTCGGAAACACTGGTAATTTGCCAACAGATTACTCTATTTCGATAAAATTGATTTGATTATTTTGTGTATACTAGAAGACTCACGATAATCACTGTACTGAACGTGATCATCTAATTGGATCGGATCGGATCTCCTAACTGTGTCACGCGCTGCGAATTCCCAAGCTTAATGAAGGTTCAGCGTGTCTGTCACACAGACCGTGAAATCTAGCGCCGGTCACGTGGTCACGTGACCGACTGTCACCGTCATTAGTTCAGTCGTGTGCGCAAGGTCTCGCTCGGTTCGATTCTCAGCACGAGCAGAGCATCCCATTCCGATAGTAGACTGCTCCCACTGCAACAGCGCACCGTAAATTATTCCTATTGGTCGTGATGTGGCTAACTACTCTGAACAATTCCAATATCAAACTTAACATAGCTATCCTCATAAACGTGTGATTTTACTTATTCTTTACTGGGTATCATCTTGCAGTATTTTATGGTAATATATTTCGCGGACTTGTTGTTTGATACCTTTTTCTCATTGTTTTTCTTACCACGATCGAAGATTAATTCAAATTTCACAATACATCCCATCGATTGTTTGCATGAGACCCCACCACTACTACTCTGGTTTTCGGTCAGTCGAAGTTGCCACCTAGTTGTTCCCCCCCCCCTCTCTCGTCATTTACTTCAAGTGATTTACCCTAGGAGTCGCACTTCTAACTTCCAATTGTCTTTCTCTCAAAAACTGTGAAACACACTTCTTCTTTCCGTTTTCTCTCATTTTACCCGTAAAACGAAAAATCAACAAACCGGTTTTAGCTGACTTTTTCGTCCATTATTCCGTGTACAGTATATGTATATATATCCTTGGATTATGGAATGAGAAACAGCATATTGATTTTCCGATCTTCGGTTGCAAGGTAAACAAGCTTATTTCCGTTGCCATTCTTTCAGTTTTCCGGCCCCAGAATTTTCGCAATCAGCACAAACTGACGACAGTTCTGCTGGGTTTGCTCCTTTGATAAAACCATCGATCCGACTACGTCCTTGCAGTGAAAAAAGCAACCTTGTGGCCGCATCGGACATTCATGCTCTATTGGACTCATTCGCTCCGACCAGAACCACTCCGGGAATCGGTGGTGCGACACAAGTCTATTCCTCACTTGAGCCACGTGATGCTAGTCCCGATCTGGCCAGTACAGCATCAATCCGAGAAGATAAGGCACCTTATAAGGAGCGCCCGGTAATTCCACTTCTCGAGTAAAACCCTCCTCCCACATCTGTTTCTTTTATACGAACGAGCCGGTTTATCTTTTATTCAATATACAATGATACAATTTTCAGGAAGTAGGAAGCGGTAGTGGTGGTGGTACTGGGATTCGAACACTCGTCCTGCACAACATGCACATTTATTTGACCAGCAACTTTAACGCAGCCCTAGGAATCGCATCTGGAGAGAANCTGATTTCCCCCCCCCCCCCCCGATGGTCTTTTGTGGCGTCCACGAGGCATTGGTTTGTTCATTCAATCTTTTAGTCGCACGTCATCCCTACCCGGTCTGTTTTACTTAGTAACTAGGAAACGCAACTGTGATTAGGCGCGGAAAGAAAATTTATTTTACGATCTTCGGTTGCAAGATAAACGAGCTTCTTTCCGTCTCATTCTTTCAGTTAAGGTCAGTTAATGGTAGTCAAACAAAAACAAAAAGGCTTGAAAATCCTGACAGGAAGGGAACTTCGTCAGACCGATCGGGCTAGGCTTCCCGATTAGTCAATTTCTATTAACACTGAGTGCCTCCGAAAGCCTCAATATGGTCGGCGGTGGATGTTTCGGGTTGCGGCTGGTCACCCCTCTCTTAGACCTAGCGGGACGCTCTCTGTTGTGGCCTACAAATGACTGATACGTTTGCCGCGCTTGCATGTGGCCGGATTGGTTGATTGATCGATTGATTGATTGATTCATCTATGCTGTCAGCTAGCACACGCACATGGACTCATGCCATGTGGACTGACTCTACTGCAGGATCGATTGGCTCCAGCCAGTTAGGTGTTAGTATTGAACTGTCCGCGCTGATTGATTCGTTGACCGTTTGAATGCCGGCTTCACGGTATACGGATGTTATGTGACACGTGAGCCGGTAGTAGACCTTCCTGCGTTTTGCTTGTTCCCGCTTGCTCACCGGTCTATTGACCGGCTGCATATGTGCCCTCTACAATAAGCGTACTGCTTAATTCACTGCTTGCTTATGTACTTCCTTCAACAAGAACACAACACCCGCAGACGACTAATCGTCTCAAATAGCCTCTGTTGCGGAAGCCCTACTCACTGCCTTCTCGTGGCGGAGGTGTTTCTGCACGTATGTGAGAGGACGAAAAGCCGATATTCGGAGCTATACCTGGGTCAATGAGCCATTTTCCGTTCACCCAGAGGAGTTGACCAAAGACCCTGATTCCAAACAAACAATGAAGAGGCGTACGAACCGAACTCACTCACAGTTTTCTGGTCGTGGTAGTGGTTACCGGCTCGATTGGGCACCTTGAACATAGGATTCGATTAATCGGACGCCGGCCTCCAATGGATTGTGGTTTTCACACCACTTAACTACCTTGCGGATCAGACTTTAGCTAATCCAAGGCTGCGGTTGTAATTTCCCGTATAAAATTCAACCGTTTTGGTTTGGGCAACCTAGCAGTATTGTGCCTTTGGGCAAATCATTGACCTTTTTTCTTTTTTATAAAGACTATTGAACCGTAATCTGTTTCGTACACAGTTTGAACTCAGGCCTGAGTGAAAGAATGTTGAAACGAAACTTTTAGCCGTAGCCCTGACCGCTGTTTCATCCAACACCTGGTACCTCCCCTCCTGAACAACTTGCTGCTCCACTAAACGTAAACTTGTAATAGCTGTGTAAAGGTTATAGATGTGTGCATAAGAACAAAAATGGTGTGATGCGGTCATCATTTTGTACGATTTTCTCAAACCTTTTCCTGAATTCGTGTTCCCACGCTAGCACTACAGCATCCTGTGAAAGCAGCACGCTCTGTTGTGCTTCCCGTGGGTCTTGAGTTGGAAAATCGGATAGTTTGTATCTTCAGCGCCACATACTTCATGCATATTTCCAGTTAAAATGTTTGAACGGGAGTAGCCAGCGTACAGCCAAGTTTTTGTTCCATGAAGACAAGGGGGACACTATCGACCTTTCTGAAATTCGGCTACCTATGCCATGTGCTTGAAGAACCAATATATTACAGACCCACAACACTGTTTTGCTTGATCACAGCGCGTCAGCCGAGAACTTCGCTCTCCACAGTGCCTGAAAATACCGTAGTAGTGTCGGGAGTGGACGTTCCGGCCTCCGAAATGGCTAGTCATCCCGAACTCCTTTAGAAATGCTCCTGAACGACCAATCCTCTCAAAGAGCTTCTCCCAGGAAGTCCTATCCACTGCCTTCAGGTGGCTGAGGTGTTAGCACTAAAGTAGAAAGACAAAGGCGAATTCCGGGAACTCTCCACCGAGCTGACTGACTATTGGTAGCCACTCCAGGGGAGCTGTCTAAAAACTGATTCCAAACCACCCGCACTTTCTGCAAGAAGCTCGTAGTAGTACCAGTCCCCGAAGCAACTCTAAGAAATCCTCCTACATCGGCCCAAGCAAAGTGATAGTGTCACGCCCTTAATCGAACCGTGGCTCAGTCTTTGTCGCCGGCATGCTTGGTCCGAGGTTCGAGCCCCGCAACCGCCACCCTACTTTGGTGGTAGGCAGCTTTGCTGTCATCCTGTTCAATACCAGGCCCAACCTATAGAAGCCTTATGTAGTTCGTCACTCCTTGTCCTGGGGCTTAAGTTACCGGTTTCCATGACTGAACACCTGGTTCTCGTGACCGTGGGATTTATCCCGTCTACTGTTCATCACATTAAGGTGTGTAGTAAAAAAACATTCACTCATGCACCAAAATTCTACAGCCGCACGCAAAACGCAGCACTTACGCGGTGCACTTTTTGCCTTGTTTCGAATGGTTCCACTCATGTGGGTTCATGTTGCAGAACATCGTTATCCAACCGCCTCGGCAACCGCATGATCCCAGAATCGATAGGGATACCAAGATAGAACACCAATCTTTCCGAGGGTGTGTATATATCATGCCTTGAACAACCTCTTGCACGCAAACGACGACGCAACGACGAATTCAGAATTCGTACAATAAGCTTCGTCACCGAACTGAAAAGCAGAAAAAATGCAGCTTATGGAAAGACCCATAGAATGCACACAGAGAACGCATCGGGTTTGTAGAGTTCGAAGTCCAGATCAGACGGCCAAAATGGATCGATTATCGAGGGCGGGGAATGACTAAATGAGTATGCATCGGTATGCGGCAAATCTTGTTACATCGTGCTCGTTTTGAATGCCATTTTTTCCCCACAACCTGGTGCGCGGTTCAAAACACACAAGTACCGACAGGTTTTTTTAATTATAGGAAGAAGCCGGTATACACCTAGAGGTAAGAACGCAAATGCGACTGTTCAACTAACGGAGACATTTGGTATTTGTGTTTGTTCGTTGTATGGCATTTGGAGTTTATTTTGAAGACATTTATCTGGATGTGTGTGTGTATGGGTGTAAACATTGGCAATTGAAACTGCTGCCCCCCACCGAGCCTGGTAAAGATCCGTGCCTTTTAGGTCATCCAAATAAATCAGTTCCCACCACCTTGTTATTCAAAGCCCATTCAATTTATCATGTGTATAAAGACAAGTCCTTGTTCTTCCCCCGCCCAACCCACGGTCATGTGACAGACCCCATTGGATAAACAAAAAATGTGTGACCCCCCCCCCACGCACACCATACACCAGAGTGTGTACCTCTTACCCTTGTGATATGAATTCCACTCCATTACGGTTTGATTGGTCCACGGTCAACACAAACAGACAAAACGTGTTGTTGTGTGTTACATCAGACCCCGGAAAGGGGCCATCAGTAAGGTGATCGAACTGTCTCGTGTGTTTGAATGCATCACATCTGTTTTAAGGTTAAAGTTATTCTTGTGACCTTGAAAATATAGTAGTATGGTATAGTAATGCCCTTTGATCAAAACTGGTTAAACACACCACCGGGTCAGTATTCAACAACCAATCGGCAGGAGAACCCAGGTCGAGTAACTTTATGCGCGCGTGCATGCGGTTGTTGTTGTTGTTTTCATTGTGTCCAATGCAAATCAGACTGAATGAGAAGTGAACAGAATCGCACAGATAAGCTACCTCGTCGTTGTGGTGGTGGTGGTGGTGCTGGCAAGCACAGCACGTGGCCAAGGCACGAACGCTGCTCAGGATTGATTTCATCCGCGTGGTCTTACCCGGTGTGCCACACATCAGTGGCTAGTTAGATTTTTTCACTGTGTTGCTAGGTCCACATACATCCACCTCCGTGTGACCAGTATGGTCGTCACATTTCCACTCCGATATGGTCAAGTTGAATATACTTGCACACTGACGGTGTCCTTTTGGAATGCTGAAAACTTTTTCTGGTCGATTGGTAGGCTCTGAAGAATTTTCAATCATTGTACTTCCCATCGGTCCCGTTTTTGTTTTTACTTTTTCCCGCTACAACTGAAGTCATTTGAAATTGATACCGAAGCCGGTGACGAGTATCACATGGATCCGGTAACCAGGCCAGACCACCGCGATCTCAGTCCGAGTCACGCCGACTCTAAAGATGACGATTCAGACGAAATTATATCTACTCAACGAAGATCTCAAATCACCGTAGAGAATAATGACAGCACTCCGACTTCACCTGGGATTCACGCCCCTCCCGCTCGGGAATTCCAGACACGAATTCCGGGCAAACGTTCCCGTCGCACTCGATCCACCAGTACAGTTTGGTGAGTTCTATGTGGCCTGTACTACTCCCGTCTGGTGATTTTCATATTCCTTTTTTATCCCATCTGAGATTGCATACAAATATTGCTATTGCACACTACATCTCATGCGTTTTCTTTATTGGCTTAACACATCTATATGCTCATAATTTTTTTCAGATGATACAAGATGCTGAATTTTACTGATATCTGCACGGGGATTGATGTGTTCCGTACCGCTGTGGACTCACTCTGTCTGGAACAAAGCATGTGATAAAATTCTTTCTAACAGAGCAATTAATCTACGATTTGTTTGTGGACTGAGTTCCGTCAGGTTGTTCTGGTCAAAACAGGAGTCACAGTCGGAGTTATATATATATATATATATATATATATATATATATATATCATGGTACGATAGTCTTTATAAAAAAGAAAAGCTTTCCGTGATTTGCTTGTGGGCGGAATACTCCTAGGTTGCCCCGGGTCAAGACAGGTGAATTTTTCTGGGGTACTCACAAAGGGAGCCTTCGGTTAGCCAAAACCTGAGCCGCAAAGCAGCGGGGCGGTGTGTGTGTGTGTAAAAACCGCAAACCATTGGAGGCCAGTGTCTAGTTCATTGAATCATACGCCCTTTGTTACAATAAATATTGTACTATGATCTGTTTTTGGCACGCAGTCTGTACTCAAACGTGTGTGAAATATGTTGAAGCTCATGTATTATATGAACTATCTAGGGAATATTAGTCACTAATTTAACGTTGGTTCCTCAGAACCCTGGTGTCATGCTCAAAATGTCCATTATCTTATGTCATTGTTCGTTATATGCTACACGCATATCGGTTGTTGAAAATCGTCCATTCGGCGGAAAACTTGCATTTTCTAATTCGTAATCTTGATCATATCTTATTTGGGATATGGTCCTGGCTCATGTGTATTGAACGATGTTAGGTTCTAAATATTGTTTTGTATTTAAATTTCTATGAATCACACTCTTCGGATGTTGGATTACATATCACACATTAACTACACGAATAACTCAGTGTGATCGTGTGAATTCACTGTGCACTCCGCCTGAGCCTTGGGTATGTGTGAGATCGTTTCTTCCATCAGGCTAACCGCCTTTTGTCGCATAACTGGTGTGATAGAAGAAACCGGACTATTCCAGGGACCGTTGACCTGCGCATGTGAACTAGTTGATTCACAACCTGGCAGCGGTATTTTACACTCGGAAAAGTAAAAGCAGCTCTTATGAAGGAATAGCAGTCATAGTGGGTTTTACGCTTTACGCACATATTCAGACAGATAGCGAATTTCGTTTGCCTTCTGTAGGTCACAGACGTTATCTTCCAACACTCATTCAAGCCCAAGCGTTCAGCGACCTTTGGATCGTGGATGAAATACGTGCAAATGTCCACGTGTTTCAGCTGAATAGAAGTAATTCGGTTAATAATGCTTGCAGTACGCTTTGTATCTTCAAAGTGCATACACACGGGAAACGGAACGATTATCTATATGCGTCGTCTTGTGAGTAGAGACATTTCAGTTTGCGGTTTGATTACAGCTTATGTTCCGTCTCTTAGAATATCGATTCAGCACTCCCTCTCGCTTAATCTCCGCTATCTGCGATGCGAATGTGTTATCTTTTGTCTGTTACTCAGACTGTTTGCATTAATTGTTTCATCGTTGCAACGGTTCTGTGTCGAGGTTCCACAACGTATGTTCTTCAAGCCCTTTTGCTTTCTGAGCATCGATCGAGAAGAAAGGGATAACTGAATTAACAGACCGGGACCTGAGCGATCGGTACGGTATTCGATTTTCTCAGACTGTGTCGACTAAGATATGTGTTGCACATGTTCCCCGCATAGTCTTCCCATGGTGCTTATTGTTCACTGATGCGCTTACAGGGCGAAGGATTTGGAGCCGGTGATACCAGTACTGGGACACCATTTTGTGCCATACTCCGTGTGATCGACATGAATGTATCCGTGAATTCTACTCATTCTTATCTTAGTGAAGGTTGCTTAACAGAAAAAGAAGCTAGAGTAACATATTTAAGCCTACAAGACTCCTCAGTCTGTTAGTCCAAACACAAGAACCCATTTACTTGGTCTGGATTAATCGTATTCCTATTTGTGTTCGTTTGTTTGTTGGTTCAATCGTGAC